TGAAGAGATACTATGGTGAAAATGACTGTAATTGTTATTTATTTATGAAACATATTTCTATCTTGTCACAATCAAGACTCTTGGCAGCTGTTGTTATTATTGTTTAGATTTATACCCTGCCTTGACTAGTAGCTCAAGGTGATGTATAAAATGGGAGTTGGTTTATTGACTGGAATGTCTTAAACATTTGGGAATAATTCCAAGATAAACATCTTTATTGGTAGATATGAATACTGTAAACTGTGTAACTCAGATTAACACTCATATTAATCAATGGTTAAAAATCCAGATGGTAAAAGAATAAATCTGAATATGAATTTTACTTCAAGACTGGTATATATGATACCTATGTTAATCCCATTTAGATATTTCAGACAAGATGATAAGTTAGTTATTCAGTTTATGGTATAGTCAGATGTTAAGGTTCTCTCTTTGTAAAGTGTGATTCCCATATGAAAACAGGAGTTTAATCTTCCAGATGTTTACGTGTGTCATATGGCATATATATTAACCTCTGTCCCTTTATTGGGGTGGGGGTTGAGGAATGAAAATGAGCTTGAATATGAACCATAATTGAAATAACCACAACATCATTATCTGGCTCCTTTGAATCAGCAGGTGCTCAGGTCTGTAGTTTGAATTGAACTGCATTTCCAGCATCAAACTGACTCTCTGGGATAATTCTTATTTGCAAATAGTGATAAAATGGCTTTTTGTTTGTTTTTAAACTTGGACTGAACAAGGGGTTAATACCCTAGAGCTAGTCATTGTTAATTATATTTTTACAAGAATTTACAAAAACGCGTGAATAGCAATATATTCATTTAAACTTTTGTTATTCTCCCAATTCGGAGCTGATGCTTTGGTGACCTTGGAAAGCCCTATAATTCTGAATACGTTAGAAGAAGATTTTTAGAGGTTGATCCCACAATTCATCTACATCAACAATTGAATAACTTTATTAAGATAAATAACTGCTAATTTACAGGAAACATGGAACAAATAATTGGCGTATCCCATTTTAATAGGTCTCCAGTTTTTAAGAATATTAAATATGTCTCTTATGAACTTTTTTTCAGGCTTACTTGTCACCTCAATGGATGTTCAACAAGGGTCGGTTATCTACCTTTTTATGTAGGGAACATAATAAATTTGAAGGAACATTAACACATTGATTTAGATGTGATCTAATTGTTCCATATTAGTTTAACATGCTTAATATTGTCAGTAAGGGTTCAGCAAAGGAGATGACATTTAAAGATGTCAATGTGTTGTTAAATTATATTCTTAAAATTCAGAATATTTTTATTTATGAAAAACTTTGGATCTTTTGCACCTAGAATATTGCAAAAAGGATAATAATGTATTCTTGGAAAGCTGCTAGTATAACAGATGCCAGAAGTTGGTTGGAAGAAATGTGTGCACTCTCAGCCTATGGCTGTCTACTAATGTAATGGAAAGACTGGACAATATGATTTTGTGTGGTCAAGGTTTAATTTGTTACTTAAAACTGAGCTCTATTTTTTAAAAATGATATAACTCTGAGTTTATTGAGGTATTTTTGTATTTGTTCCATATTTGTTGGTTACAGTTTTTAAAAAATTTATTATACAATGCTACTTTAGCATTTTATAATTTTGATTCATGTTTTTTAAACAATAATATCAGTTAAAAAACAAAGCACTCCCTCCTCCAATTTTTTTCTCGCAATAATCCTGTGAAGTAGGTTTGAAAGAGAGGTAATGACTGACCCAATGTTACCTAGTGAGCCTCCATGGCTAAGAATGGACTTTATATAATTAGTACACCAGACTCACATGTTCCCCTATCCCTTTCTCTAATGTGGCTGCCAGAATAGCAGAAAGGTTGGTCTTAGAATAACTGTAGTTTAGGGTGTTGCCTGAAGTGTAAATTACTACTAATCTTCGCTATGATCACTTGAAAGAAGCCAGGCTTCCGGAACCTGGAATTGGCCTACAAGTAGTAAAAACTATAAACATACTTAATGTACATCAAAATGTATACATTCATGCAGAATTACAATAGGAAATCAATTGGCAGGTTTTAAGAACTCCTCTCACATCAAAATACTTCCTTAAAACAGTAGCATTCAAGCCAACCCAAATTTGTAAAGACTCCTTGCCCAAAGCTGAAGGAGGCAACTATATTTTTAAATACAGTTAAGGCTGTCCCACACCAACAAAGTTATAGGCACATTTCTTTTTAAAAACTGAATTAAACAGACCTAATTCCAAGGACCCTGTATTCACTTCTGTGAAATAAGGAAGTCTTTATCCTCTTAAAAGGACTACTGTAAATATTACATTTGCCCTTCCATCCAGTTCAGCTGAAGAATGAAAAAAATTACAGACAATTGTGTTTTCCCCATATACGTACCTTGCTTGCTGAATAAAGATTCAAAAATGGAAATGGTATTACTCCAGACATAGAACTGACATTAATTATAATTCCCTTGGACCTAAAAAGTAGACAGAATATAAATTATAACAATCGTTGAAATAAAGTAGAACACTCAAAATATACAGATGTTAGCGATACTTGTGTCATGCAACGCAGTAAAGGACCTAAATAGAGGGTTCATGTGGGACCCTGTGGCATTCTGGGGAATAAAGGTGGCAGGTAAGTAAAAGCTCGTGTTTCATTATGAAATGTGCATAGTCATATACTTTAAAAAAGTGTGTGTGTGTGGGTCTAGGTGTGTCTAGGTATGTTTATACACACAGAGAAACACACAAAAAAAGTATATTCACAGATACCAATAGGGGACTCCACAGGCACAAAGGAAATGCCCACTGTATATAATTCCCAGGTGAGCAGCTGTTTCATCTGTTACAACAACAACAAAAACCATACAATCCCTACTAAAAAGTCATAATTAGCTATTGTGTAATGTATTTGTAACTGCCATTCAAATGTAAATTATTTTCCCAAGGAAGTTTAAAGTAAAAACTACTGCAAAACAACATTAAAACATGAAATCAGATGTACAAACCCAATTAAAAAGAAACATCAAACAGAAGCAGGTAAATATATAGCATAATAAATAATTCAAGGGCAAATAAGAAAGGAACTGAGAATATTTCTAGAGATGGGGGGGAAAACCATTTGGTTTATACATATCAGCCTAATACTCTCAGTGACTGACAATATTGTGGGACCCCATCTTCTAAACATAATGGTTCAGGAAGATATATACAAACACAGGTGGTCCAAGATAACCTGATCAGAAATAATTCTGGACTTTAAAAATTAATACTAGCAGATGAAAATGGGCTCAGAAATGAATAGGTAGTCAATGTAACTGGATTGCTGCAATGTGCTCTACATGGGGCTACCCTTGAAGAGTATCCGGAAGCTACAGCTGGCACAGAATACAGCAGTGCAGACAGTTCTGAAGGCCCCTGGGGGGCCCATATAACACTGCTGTTACGCGAGCTGCATTGGTTGCCAGCTTGCTTCCAGGTCCAATTCAAGGTGTTGGTTATCACCTTTAAAGCCCTTCATGGCACAGGACAAGGTTATCTGAGGACCTGTCTCGCCCCCGTTATATCAGCCTGCCCCACTCGGTCCAGCAGAAGGGGCATAGTGCAGACCCCACCAGTCAAGGAATTTCGACCAGTGGGATCTAGGAAGAGGGTTTTTTCTGCCATGGCCCCCACTTTGTGGAACAACTTACCACCCAAGGTGCGGTGTGCCCCCACTCTCATGGCCTTCAGGAAGAGCATGAAATCTTGGCTATGCCAGATGGCCTGGGGGCCGGATGGGGGCTCGCACCAGTGGAAGTGGCTTGTGGGGTAATTGATTTTAACCCCCCCCCGGTCATCTTGAATGTTTTTAGTTTTTTATGTATAGGGTTCATTGTATATAGCCTGACTTTTTAATTAATTAATGTGGGTATTTATTTTTTAACTGTTTGTGAGTTTTACTCTAATTCTGAGCCGCTCAGAGTCACCCGCAGGGGGAGATGGGCAACATACAAATTTAATAAATAAATAAAATAAATATTGAATAACTGTAAAGTGATCAGACCACTAGTTCCTGCTACCAGTATCTCTAAAAACAGACTGATGAGATCAATGCACTGTCATAAAGTTGATGTGTGTGTGTGTGTGTGTGAGAGAGAGAGAGAGGATTGCAGCTGCCAAATCAGCCAAAAAGCACTCTTCATCACTAATTATGCTTGCATCTTCACACAGAAAAACAAGTCCAGGAATATTCACAACTACACACTTGGTTATTTAGCAAGGCATAACTCCATTCATGATCAGGTTATATCACTATCCAGTCAGTATCCATTCCCATCTTGCCTGGATGAATTTTCATCCTTTTTACTCTAATTTGCCTCAAATAGTGCATGACAGAAGATCCTAGACTGAGATCCAATGCCTAAGAGAACTGCATATCTACATAATGAACCATTGCCAACTTTGTTGGGAAGTTTCAGGTTTGACTTATTCTATCAGTTCCTAAGATGCAAATATGTACATGATTTTCTGGGGAGGCAGAGTAGAGAGATTGGAGAGGAATGTATTAGAAGAGAGTAAGCAGGCACACAACAGGGAATACACTGGGCTGTTTGCACAGCACACTCACAGCTGCCAGTGCCTGCACATTACTTTTGATGTGTATTCCCCATTGTGTGCTGTCTTACTGCTTACTGTCTTCTAATCCTCTCCCCTCCAATAAATATAAATACAAACATCAATTCCCTTGTTAATTATCCCAGCCCTGGGGTGAGCATTCCAAAGGGTGGGGTGAGTACTTAGGAGGCAAACAAAAGCCAAAGGAGTGAAACTGATTCCTTTTGTCAATTTTGAGCAGGAAAGCACAGTTGCAATGTAATTTCCCACTTAGTGACTGCTTTGCTTAGCAACGGAGTTGCTGGTCCCAATTGTGGTTGCTAAACAAGGACTAACTGTAACTTATGTTGTTGGAGATGCAATCAAAATACCAGTCCATTAAACACATGTTTTTGCAATGTCCTAAAGTTATTAGGTTTGGGGAAGAAGTATATATATATATTAATTTCACTTTGAGACAAAGTTTAGTATTCTTGAATCCATACATTCTTTTGAACTACATACCTACTACATAGAAATTGACAGCTGGGCAATGGCAAAGGATTCTCCATGCCCTTATTATTGCCAAGAAATTAGTTCTTCAACACTGGAAAGACAAATTCATGGCCTTAAGTATCCAGTGGATGGAAGATCTGGTATTACTTACGATTTATGAACAAGTAGACAGATTATGTATGGATGGTAACAATGAAATACAGCTTTATTGACACTGTTAACAAGTTTTTATGGTAGCAAATATTCTGATATTGGTAAACTAATTAAACACATACAAGTAATGTTCAGACATCATACTAAGTCAGACTAAAAGGCTAAATGTGGAATGCTAAAACTTAAGACCAAACAATTTGTAGTAATTTTAAAAGATCCATATCTGAAAATACTATTAAAACTATGCAGTCTATATACAATGTAAATAAAAACGTCAGAGGTAATTTGTTAAAAAAAACCCTTGCGCTTGACTCCTGCATAGGTGATTGCATAGAATAGCCATGCAGTTTTCAGGACAACATTGTAGAAGCTGGCTGCCACTGCCTTCTTCCCTGCTGTCCTTTTTTAAAAAAACAAAACAAAAAAAACTTCCCAGTCTAGGCTACAAACCTGAGATTTCCTGGTGGTTTCTCATACAGGTACAGGTAGTCCTCGCTTACCGACTACCTTGTTTAGTAACTGTTGGAACTTATGACAGTGTAAAAACCAGCATTGTGATCAATCCTCGCATTTACAACTGTCGCAGAGTTCTGAGGTCACGTGATTATCATTCAGGTGCTTTGCAACCAGCACGCATTTACAACCATTGCAGTGTCCTGCAGTCACGTGATTGCCATTTGCATGCTTCCCAACTGGCTTGCAACAAGCAGAATTAATGGAGAACAAGGAAGTAAAATTGTAGGTCATGGCCATGTGATGTTTCACTTAAGCGATGACTTGCTTAATAACTGAAGGGGAAGTGATGTCATAAGTCTGTTGCAGTTACATGATTTTCTGCTTAGTGATTGCAGTGCTTAGCGACAGAGTTGCCAGTCCCAATTGTGGTTGCTAACTGAGGACTACCTGTATTATCCAGGTCCCATCCTGGTTAGCTTTTTCAAGATTAGCTGCCATCGGCCTTAACATAATTCATTTTAAGCATGGCAACAATGAAACAAATGTCTTATAACTTTTAGACGATTGAGTGATCAATTCATAAAATCAGAGTAATAAGTATAATCAGTACAAAGGAAAAATAACTGTTTACATGATGCATGCTTTTCTGTTATAAACTGTATTGCTTTCAATCTACAACAAAAAGAAAAAAGACAATAAGCAAGTACAAAATTAGTCATAATACAAAAAGCAAAACAAAATAACCCAAAAAATAATAAAAGCATGTTTTGTAGTATTTTGGTAGCATCATCCTTCTCCTCTCATAGAAGAGGGAAAGTTTTTTCTTGGTTGCTTTTACAAGTGTTAGAATTAAAGCATAGCTCTAGTGCCCAATTAACTAGGAATACAGTTTGTTTATTTAAAAAAAATAATTCGATTAAATATTAAATCCCCAATGGCTATTAAGATTTTCCAAGAATGTAGGATTTTGTAGGATTTTCTTTGTTGTTGTAACACATGATAAAGTGGGGAATTACAGCAGGATCCAATTCAATGCCACAAGTCAAAACAGCAACATTTTCTCTGTAACCAGGGAAGCACTCAGGACAATAACATATAGCCATATGTAATTTTAACATATTTTTACTAGATTTCTCTAACATGAATACATAAAGTGATCAACTAGATATATCCTAATTTTATCAATTTTTTTTAAAAGTAGGGTTATAAAAACATGGTATCTTTACTACTCCCATTGTTGTTATAGTAATCTTTGTTTCCACAACTGAATATAAAATGATAAGAAGAAAGCTGCCTTTGTCATGCAATTAGCTTGAATGGGGCAAAAAAAATCAAGTTTGTGTATAATTCTGTGGAACCAAAACGCAGGACACAAATGCAGAATAATCAAGGCTTCACTGCAGTGTTTATTGAGCAGTACGTACTGGAGGGGGGCTCCACCAGAAG